GAATTCCCATTTGTCCCGAAATTTCATCGTCCCGAGTTCCAACGCCCCGAGTTCCATCGTCCCAAAATTCCATCGTCCCAAGTTCCAACGCCCCGAGTTCCATCGTCCCGAAATTCCATCGTCCCCCGAGTTCCAACGCCCCGAGTTCCATCGTCCCGAAATTCCATCGTCCTAAGTTCCAACGCCCCGAGTTCCATCATCCCGAAATTCCATTGTCCGGAAATTCCATCGTCCCGAAATTCCATCGTCCCAAAATTCCATCGTCCCAAGTTCCAACGCGCCGAGTTCCATCGTCCCGAAATTCCATCGTCCTGAAACTCCATCGTCCCGGTTCCATCGTCCCGAAATTCCATCGTCCCGAAATTCCATCGTCCCGAAATTCCATCGTCCCGAAATTCCATCGTCCCGAAATTCCATCGTCCCGAAATTCCATCGTCCCGAAATTCCATCGTCCCGAAATTCCATCGTCCCGAAATTCCATCGTCCGGAAATTCCATCGTCCGAAGTTCCAACGCTCCGAGTTCTATCGTCCCGAAATTCCAACGTCCCGAGTGCCAACGTCCCAAAATTCCAACGCCCCGAGTTCCTACGTTCCGAAATTCCATCGTCCCGAAATTCCATCGTCCCGAAATTCCATCGTCCTGAAATTCCATCGTTCCGAGTTCCAACGTCCTGAAATTCCTACGACCCGAGTTCCTACGTCCCGAAATTCCTACGTCCCGAAATTCCTACGTCCCAATATAAGTAACAAATGTAATGAACGAATATTTGAAATATAATTTTACGTCGTCAACCAATAATCTTCCACCAAAAGATCAATGTTTTATTGATGAAGGACTTCAAACGAAGAAGTCGATTCTCAACTTCCCCATCGAAGCCGCTGAAGTTATGGAAGAAGGGGAACATCAAGGACCGGTCAGGTTATCAACCAAAGGATTATTGACTCTCTGTTATTGACTGGGTTTAACTGACCTCGTCATTCAATCGATCGGCATTCGTGTCTGAATGCGATTGAAGCGATCATTATCCTAACATTACCAGAGCGACCGGCTGATTCAATATGTGCATAAATTCTTTTCTCAAACGTCTAGCGTGTTTACCGTCTACCTTGTTCGACTGGCAATAAACATCGCGCAGAATGTGCTACTTAAAGACGTATTACGAGAAACAGTCAATTTTCCATCGCGCAGTAAACATGAACGATTTTATCGTTTCATATAAACAGTATCTGCATAAGAATACTCGAGTTTACACGATCAAGAAAATATTGTTCTTTATTCAAAAAACAATTTCGTTTATCTTCTGCAAATCCCCCGAACGTGTCACAATTTCAGGAAAATAACTTAGCAGCTGTATACGTGCCACGGATACTGAGGGACCCGATAATCAAAGGCGAAGAAAGAAGAGAAACAGAGCTCGATGATTCCTGGGCCGTGCAGTTATCTTCAAATTATAGTCGTCATCTTTGAGAAAAAAAAAAACAAGGCTGCGACGTCGCGTCTTAATCTACTAATTCCTCTCTCTTGTTTGTTGACGCTGAGTAAATTAAAAACCGATGAAAGCAGAGATCACGATTCTAATTAAAGTACAGACTCTCGATAGGAGAGCCCTGTGATTCGCCTTTCGCTTGATTAAACCGTCAAGAGATGTTGGAGATGTTGCTCTTTATTGTTTGAGACTTTAAGGGGATTTTTGATGGTTGTGGATGTTGAAAACTTTTTTGGGAAATGAGGTTGAATTTTGGGGATTTGGACATTTGGGGATGTGAAGATTTGAGGATGTGGGAATTTAGGGATGTGAGGATTATGGATGTGAGAAGTTGGGTATGTGAGGATTTGGGGATGTAAGAAGTTGGATATGTGAGAATCTGGGGATATGAGGAATTAGAAATGTGAGAAGTTGGGTATGTGAGAATCTGGGGATGTGAGGATTTGGGGATGTGAGAAGTTGGATATGTGAGAATCTGGGGATATGAGGAATTAGGGATGTGAGAAGTTGGGTATGTGAGAATCTGGGGATGTGAGAAGTTGGATATGTGAGAATCTGGGGATATGAGGAATTAGAAATGTGAGAAGTTGGGTATGTGAGAATCTGGGGATGTGGGAATTTGGGGATGTGAGAAGTTGAGTATGTGAGAATCTGGGGATGTGAGGATTTGGGGATGTGAGAAGTTGGATATGTGAGAATCTGGGGATATGAGGAATTAGAAATGTGAGAAGTTGGGTATGTGAGAATCTGGGGATGTGAGAAGTTGGGTATGTGAGAATTTGGGGATGTGAGGATTTGGAGATGTGAGAAATTGGATATGTGACAATTTGGACATCTAAGGCAATTTGGGCACCTAAGACAACTTTAGAATCTAAGACAATGTGTGAATCCAAGACAATTAGCTAAATCCCAATATAAAAATTTGCAACTCGCTAACTTCAAGTCCTCAAAATCTATAAATTTCAGGTTCTCAAAGCCAAGACCACAAAAACTTAATTAAACCATTTGAAGTCAAGATCTCGAGTACCAAGGATATCCCGAAATCCGAAAAGTTTTAGAAAACTCACCGCAACACTTGTGGAATAGAAAATTAGAGAATCTGAAAGCACAAAATGTCTCTACGTTCCCAAATTTCTGCGTTGCAATGATCGTGGAATGAAGTTCAAAGGATTTCGTGCCGCATACGTAATAGCGATTGAAGGGTAAATCGACAATATGTTCTTCCACGTGGCCACAGAACTCGGTCGACTTCCTGCTGGTCGAAGTTTCGCGCGTCGTCTCGTCGACATTGTAACTGGGTGCACGTTTTCAGGATGAAAGGAGCTGAAAGCTACCGTGAAAAGACGCTCTTTCGCCGGAAATCCTTCTGCTTTTACGACGGACGAACTTCTCCGTCCTTGTTCGATTGCTCGATCGCGGACACAACGGACGTTTACGTTTTCGAAAAGAAATATCTTCTCCGTGGGATTTTGTAGGGAAACAAATTTGAGGAGGTTTCGATGCGTTGGTCTATTCGATCTTCATCGACTCGGGTCTTAATAAGTGGCGGCCTCGTTGGAATTACAAATCGCTTCTGGTTCACCGCTATCGAGAGGGTAACGCAAGATTAATCTGGTCGTTAGAAAGGTAATCCGCGATCGAATTACTTTGACCTCTTTCCTCGACGTCCTGCAAATCCATTTCTTTTCGTTCCTTTTTTTGACCACGGAATCGATTTGATTTAATGACCTGTCTTTGCGCTGCTGCTTACATTGTTAATAGCTATGGAAATTAGAGACAAATACGATCAATCCGTAGAATTCCTGGGGTAAATTTTGTACCTTCGATGTTTTAAACTATGTATCAGAACTTGTCGAGTACTGCTGAAAACTTTAGGGTGAGACAAAAGTAGAAATGGGGCAGATATTCGCGAATATCTTGGTACTCATCGATTCTACGGTAAAAATAGTTATTATAAAATTTGTAGCTCAGGAAATTCTCCACAAAAAAGAATGTATACGTTTTTTTCCTAGGAGAAGTCCTTCTCTAGATATGTGATGTAAATCCCAGTACAAGAGTCCTATGATAAAAATGGATCACTTATTCGCGTATATCTCGACATTCATCAATTTCACAGTAAAAGTAGTTATTATCAAATTTGTTGCTTAGGAAATTCTCTACAAAAAAGAATCTATACATTTTCTTGTTAGGAGTAGTCATTCTCAAGATATGTGATGTAAATGTTCCCAGATACCAGTTCTCAGAAAAGCCTTATGATGAAATTGGATCATTTATTCGCGAATATCCCGACATTCATCTGTTTTACAGTAAAAATAGTTATAATCAAATTTGTAGCTCAGGAAATTTTCTACGAAAAAGAATTTATACGATTTTTTCTTAGGAGTAGTCATTCTCGAGATATGTGATGTAAATGTTCCCAGGTAGCAGTTCCCAGAAAAGCCTTATAATAAAACTGGATCACTTATTCGCGAATATCTCGACGTTCATCAATTCCACGTTAAAAATACATATTACAAGATTTGTAGCTTGGAAAATTCCCCACAAAAAAGGAGCTATACAACTTCTTCGTAGCAGTAGCCGTTATCGAGATATAAACCAAGACTTAGTGTTCAGTACGAGTCAGAACAACCTATATACATTTACCATAAAAAATCTCAGCCACCTTCACAAGAATGTATAGTAAGATCCTCCTTATCGGATCATACGCCTACCAGATGCGCTGAAAACTCGAGATATCAGCTAAAACGAAAGGTACACGGGACGGAAACTCGAGAGTGTTCTCGCAACATTATCCTTTGGAGAATCGCCTTAGGGTCGTGGTCGATTGAACCTTATTCCAGGATGCCTAATCGCGCGTGTGCCTCGACGATCTTCAGACAAGATAAAAGCTCGGCCATTTTGTCTCCCAGCGTGAAACTCGAATTTTCTTCTAGATAGTGTCGCATTCGTAAATCGACGGAGAAATTGTCCTATCACGAAGACGGATAGTCTCTTACTTGGCTTGTAATGCAATTTCTCGTCGTTTTTCTGTTTCAGTTTTTTAACTGAAGGAAACTCACTTTAGGCTGTTTCTAAGGTAAATTTATTTTCATGGACTCTGACATCAAATATTCACCAAATAACTGATCAATGTTCATTTATAAATTCAATCTGGAATTTGTCGATCAAAAACCAACATCAGATCAACACTGTCTACAAAATGAGAACTGATTGTAATGTTAGAATTATAACAATCAAATGACTAATTTGTCATACAAAGACAAGAGGAAGCAGAGAACATACGCCATTGAAAATTTCAATAAAGTAGAATGAAAACCTATATATAGATAGTTATTATTCATAGTGATCGGGTATCACACACAATATTTTTCTAAAATCGTGAGGACGAAATCTTATAAATATTCATAGTAGTAGATTCTCGATCGGATATGTCCTGAAGCCATCTAATCAAGCCCGACTCCCTATTTCGGAAAATGTAGCAATTCCTATGAATGATGCAAAAGAAAACTCACCGTTGAGTACGTGGACCGCTATGGTGGTTTTCGCTTTGCCCGGCACCACGCAGCTATAGTTTCCAGCATGCCTGGGGCTGGCTCTCTCGACGATCAGGGTGCTGACGATCACGAGGACCTCCTTGCCGGACGAGATCTCCGTCGTCCTGTTCTCGCTGGAAAACGAGATATCCGAGCGTAACCCATATCCGGCTCACGTACCAACCTAATACCGTGTATCCGGTCTTAGGTGTGGAGAAAAGGAGCGAAGGGTAGGGTCGATGAAACGCGAGAAAGCTCTCGTTTCATAGATACCGGTCTTAAGTGGGTCTCCGGGCGTTTTTGCTCTCCCACTCTTCTTGTTTGATAATTTCATTAACGGCGACTACAAGATAACGAGGTGTTTCGTGAAATTGCTCTTCGTCGATGCTTCTCGTTCGATAAGACGTTCTTCGTTACGAGTAAGAGAGCTCGTAAACTCTATCAGATTATTTATTGATTTACTTTCTATTTTAACGAAACGTGTACTTTGATATTCTTGCGAGACCGCGTTAACCTACAATTTTCTGGACAGTCATCTTAATTATTCTTACAACATGAAAAATATATATAAATATTTAAATAACTGCAGAAACTTAAAATCTTATATTAAGCATTCAGACTTGATTATGCAAATTATAATCAGAGAACCTAATCCAAAGTTGCAGTCAAAATATGAGTGTGATTTGTCACATTCGAACTGTCCGTCACGAGTGCGTCATAATATTGCAAGCCAAAGGGTAAACATATTTTTAAGATATTTGTAAGAACAGTATTTGTATCTTCTTTAAAAAATGTGCGTCGTGAGTGCGTCACGATATTGCAGTCCAAAGGGTTAACATATTTTTAACAAATTTGTAAGAACAGTATTTCTATCTCCAGCTAAAAATGTGCGTCACGAGTGCGTCACCATATTGCAGGTCAAGGGATAAACATATTTCTAAAAAATTTATAAGAACAATATTTCTCTCACTTTTCAAAAATGTGCGTCACGAGTGCGTCACGATATCACAGACCAAAGGGTGAACATATTTCTAAAAAATTAGTAAGAACAGTCTTTCTGTCTCCTTCCAAAAATGTACGTCACGAGTGCGTTACAATATTGCAAGCCAAGGGGTTAATATATTTTAAAAAAATTTGTAAGAACAGTATTTCTATCTCCAGCTAAAAATGTGCGTCACGAGTGCGTCACCATATTGCAGGTCAAGGGATAAACATATTTCTAAAAAATTTATAAGAACAATATTTCTCTCACTTTTCAAAAATGTGCGTCACGAGTGCGTCACCATATTGCAGGTCAAGGGATAAACATATTTCTAAAAAATTTATAAGAACAATATTTCTCTCACTTTTCAAAAATGTGCGTCACGAGTGCGTCACCATATTGCAGGTCAAGGGATAAACATATTTCTAAAAAATTTATAAGAACAATATTTCTCTCACTTTTCAAAAATGTGCGTCACGAGTGCGTCACCATATTGCAGGTCAAGGGATAAACATATTTCTAAAAAATTTATAAGAACAATATTTCTCTCACTTTTCAAAAATGTGCGTCACGAGTGCGTCACCATATTGCAGGTCAAGGGATAAACATATTTCTAAAAAATTTATAAGAACAATATTTCTCTCACTTTTCAAAAATGTGCGTCACGAGTGCGTCACCATATTGCAGGTCAAGGGATAAACATATTTCTAAAAAATTTATAAGAACAATATTTCTCTCACTTTTCAAAAATGTGCGTCACGAGTGCGTCACGATATCACAGACCAAAGGGTGAACATATTTCTAAAAAATTAGTAAGAACAGTCTTTCTGTCTCCTTCCAAAAATGTACGTCACGAGTGCGTTACAATATTGCAAGCCAAGGGGTTAATATATTTTAAAAAAATTTGTAAGAACAGTATTTCTATCTCTTTTCAAAAATGTGCGCCACGAGTGCGTCACGACATTGCAGGCCAAAGGGTAAATTTCTAAAAAAATTGTTAGAACAGTATTTTTCTCCCGTTCCAAAAATGAATAAGAATTAAATTGCCTCTCAGTACAATGTTCTGAATTAAAAGGGTTAAGATAATTGAAGGGGTTAAAACTCACCTAACGTCTTCCGAGAGCGTCTCATCCCCTCTAGTCCAAACAACCGCCTCGTTCAGTGATTCCATGACGTCCCTAGCTTCGCACCTGAGCTTCAGAGCGCTTCCCGCCTTCAGGTGTCTCTCTTTAGGCACAACTCGACCAGAATCGTCCGTTATTGTCAATTCCGGCGCTGCAACAGTAACGTACCCGCTGAAAATGTTCCTCCTTGCGGATAACGAAAATTACTCCACCTGGATATTGAAGACAAACACTCGGGGTTTCAATTACAAGGAGCAGCAATAAAAACGTTCCACCCCTTGTGCTTGGGATTAAACTTTCAAACATCCAGGTAAGAGTACGATTATGCGAGGTCACGTTGAATTACATTCGCGGCTAAATGTATTCATAATTAACAGTCGTAAAACGAGGACTCGGTATCTCCGGTGACTAATTTACATCGTATAATTAAAGCATCCGGCGATATCCTCGACAGAAGTGTCCCGTTAACGAGATGCCCGACGATCGCTAAGAAATCGTTTATTAAAAATCACCTTTGACCCGTTCAAGCACTATGTCAAAAACAGAACAGACATCGTGAAACCCGATTTTATAAACTCATAATTCTGAGAAAGCTCGAAAATTTGACAGCCCGTAGGTTTTAGTCAAACAAGGTATTATCGGTTGAAAAGGGCCACGGCCGGAAGTGGAGCTACGGTTATCTTTTCGAGTATCCAACACCGTCGCTGACGAATGGGATACAGATAGGAGGTATTGGTACGTGACTACCCATACAAATTACCGCGGGGAGACGGGGTGAAGAGCAGGGGATGTAAGTTGTAGCTTTCCCAGGTTTCGCGAAGGAAAATCGACGTCGAGAAGCGTTCGTGACCGGCAGAGCAAACGCTTTGAAACAGTTAAACATCGACGATCTCCGTTTCTCCAAACGTACCCGTCTTCGAGTTCGACGCCTCGGACACGACTCTTTTTCCAGGTCGTCGTTAGAATTCAACGCAGACGTTCGACTGCGATTCTCGAGTCGACCGCTATGCAAATTTTACCCTGCGATCTTTGTCTTCTCATCCCTCTTTTTGCTGCAGTTCACACACGGAAATATAACTTCTGTGTGCTCTTGCACATACAACTATTCCGTTCAAATACATTATTTTATATTCTCAGATATATTCTGTACGTCTACACAGATATGTACTCTACATAAATATATTTCGAAGAAATATGTACAGTTTGTATTAGCTTCTGACTGTATTGGTACACCGGCTGTATTGACTAACTTTGTTGTTACTGCTAAACAAATGCATCAAGCAAAAATTAATTGATGTGAGGTTCACCTAAGAGGTTCCTAACCTAACCTAGTCTGGTCGAATAATTTTCATCTAATGTATTGTTTCTTATCAGTAATAGCAGTTAAGTAATTCAGTTTATTCTCAGCTGTTAAGTTCTTCCCTCATCCTGCATATTATGCACTGATATCTTGCTTTCATATACAAAACTCATCAAATAAATATTCTATCATTCCTTCATTGTCCAAAGCGATAAAATCCAGCAAACTCAGTTTTAGCATAGTAAGATCGAATCGCGAAACAGGAATGGTAAGAAGCGTCATACGGTGGATCCAATTTAAATAATACTTTCCTTTCTTCCGTTCTAAGATCCCCATGGGAAGCATCCGGTTGGGCTACCCTTATTCGCGTTCGCGAACGTTCATCCTAAAGAAGCTTAAAAAATGATCAGCCGAAAGAAATTTCGATCGTGGTCTCGCAATCCTGTCGGCTCCGGTTTCGTAGGATTAAATTTTCCATTGAATTCCGCTCGCGTCTGTTCATCGGGCAAAGCCGAGATCCGACGCTTCCGCTCGACGAATGCTTACCCTACTCGATCTCAATATCTTGCAGGACCCGTGTCACTGCAAGAATCCTCGTCGAGATTGCCAGACGCGCTGTCCACGTAATAAAATAATTCCTTTGATATTATCCAATCGTCCTCGTAAAAATTGCAGAATCGTATCTTTCAGAAATAATCGGAGTAATCTTATTCGAGCTTTAATATCCATGATGTGGATATTGTATTGTTTGCACTCCTCCGTTAACTCTTCACGATTTCTCCGTTAAGTATCTTTTCACTAAATCCTCCGTTAACTGTCCTTTCACTAAATTCTCCGTTAACTATCCTTTTACTAAAATCCTCTACACTGGTTTTCGTGAAGGTTCAAGAGATCACAATTCGTACAATTATTTATCCGGCTCGATCAATCGAGAGCCACGATAAATTGCCCGGCTCATCTATTTGATCTATCGTGTACCTTATGATAAACCGAACTATGATCCGCTTTTTTTTGCCCCTGGACAAATCTGTCTCCCAGATAACGCGATCCTGTCGATCGATCGACGTTGCAGATTTCCGCTGCCGAGATGAATCGAGTACAACTCGATCGGATTCACAGATTCGTCTGGTTTTGAATGGTGGCGTTTACGTTCCGACGAAAACGTTGCCGTGAATCTGGCGTGCTCGATATTCCTTGCTAACGTACGACTGCATATAAATTGGAAACTTAAGGCTCGAATAGAAATATTGCGATATATTGATCGACGCGTTTTTAGACAAACACGAATTCGATGGAGCCGATCACGGATTTTGTGTTCTTTATGTAAGAATGGAGAAATAGATATTTTTATTTTGTTCAAATATTCATATGTTGTTACTTGACTCTTTGCATTTAAGAAGAGATTTTTAGTTAGTTATTTATTAAAATATCTGTTAAAATATCTATTATAAAGTAACAGGTGTTAGGTGACATATATAGTGGTAAAATGAGACATAATTTTTTAGCTTTGCATTACAGAAAGAAACTTGATGAATTGAACAAGTGTTATCTATTAAAATATCCATTACAAGATAACAGGTATTAGGTGATATCTATAGAGGCAAAATGAGAAATAATTTTTTAGATTTGCATTACAGAAGGAAACTTGATGAATTGAACAAGTGTTATCTATTAAAGTATCCATTACAAGATAACAGGTATTAGGTAACATCTATAGAGGCAAAATGAGAAATAATTTTTTAGATTTGCATTACAGAAGGAAACTTGATGAATTGAACAAGTGTTATCTATTAAAATATCCATTACAAGATAACAGGTATTAGGTAACATCTATAGAGGCAAAATGAGATAATTTTTCAGTCAATCACAATATTAGAATTATATTTGAATTCAGGTTTAATATTTTGGGTTTATGGCTGACTAGTTTTACCCTGTTCTACTGACAGATCTGTATGACGGATGACATTTCACTAGTCATAGTGTCTGATAAACATCTGGTCCTAGTGCATGATCTGAGCAGCATAATCTGACAGATATATCAGGTTACATAATCTGTCTGACCAGTTACCAGTATATTCCACTGACGAGAAACATTATCCCAGTGCCTTTGAGTATGCTATAAGGTTTACATATATTCTGACGTTAAATTGAGGTGTTACAGTTATTTATTTATTTGGAGATTATAGATATTAATCCGACTGTGTGAGTTATAATGAAATTCAAAAGTACAGTACTATTAGCATTTGCAGTTTAATTACCAAGAGACAATATTAAACATAAACGTAATTATAAAGAATTTACAATGCAGAATTATTTAAATATGGCATCATATTTTTTAAAGCGACAGATATGGTCCCTGAAACCAATGTTACAATTTTGTACTAGTATATTGTACTTTATCTATACTTGTATATCACGTATGACTTTATCTGAAGTACACTACACAACGTATGACTTTATCTGAAACATATTAGTACATAAAGTACGACATTATCAAAAATGTCCGTACAGAGCGTTAAACAGGTAAATAATTCTGAAATCATGTTATCTTATCATAATCTACAATTCACCGAACGAAAGCCCAGCGCAATATTTTTAATTATTCCGAAGCAGTATCCGAGTTTCATTTGAAATTGCTTGTTTCCACGGGGACAAGTCGAAATTAGGGTTCGCCGAGGAACTGTCGGATGCTCGGTCGCGTAGAAATTTTATTAACACGCTACACGGAACGTCGTTCGTGTTTGAAATTCAGAAAATGCCGGCCTTTCGCGTAAAAAACACGCTCGTCGGAGCCGTTGCGGTCTTCCCTGGTCTGGAATAAAATTTCAGTTTACGCCCGACGCCGTTTTGTTCGTCGACCGCGTAACCGGCGGTCCGCGTCTTTCGAATTCCACGCGACAAAGATGCGCTTAGCAATCCGTGAAAGTATGCCCGGGCACGTGCGTTTCCCTCGTTTCTTGCCCCCGACCAAACGGGAAAGCATCTTTCACGGGGACGCACCAGCAGGAATTTCTTTTTCCGTCACGCTCAAGCAAAAACGCGGTTGCCCGCTGAATTATTGCGAATACCGTCGCGCGGTTCGGCGAGAAAGAGACTTTTCTTGCGAGCCGACGTCGCGTCGATACATCGAGACGCCGCGCTATCTTTTTCTCCTTCGACCGACTAAAACATTGATCATCCAGCGCGGAAAATCGCTGAATTATACGAAATCCGTGCCGGAAGAATCGCACCAGAAACGGGACACCATCTTCCCTTTAAATTCCCTCATATAACGTTACGGTTCCGACGATTGTCGTCGATAAAGTCCAAACTATCGTTTCGTCCTGGAAATCGTCCCAACTTGCGAGAACAACGCTCGTAGAGATTCTTCCACTGTTACGACACTGTTTTTCTCCATTCGCGAATTTCCTGATACAATCAGTATTCTTCGATTTTGTAGACGTGGCAATGGCGGATCAAACTGGGTCGACTGAGGTAAACATTTAAATGTACCGTGGATTTTTATTATCACGAGAGCCTATCAAGTGTCATATCAGAATTGATCACATTTCTCAGCGAACGAAAAAGAGGAGCACCTAAAAATACAGTATAAAGTAATCTAACGCCTGACACTTCACTGATACCCGAAAACACGATGATACAGTAAAGACATATTTTCTAGACGGTTTCTGGTCGATATATCTTAAGAAGCAAGATAAATTTGTCGCATTTGCACCGTCATGAAGCAGCGTTAAATATAAATCTATCATACGTGACGTGCGTGGTATATTTCTCAGTAAAGAAAGAAAATGTAAAACAGTTAAAAATACAGTAAGTAATCTAACATCTGACAGTTTACTAATATCTGCAAACACGATAAAGTAACAGCTAGAGATATTTTTAGTCGATGTATCTTTAGAAGTTGGGGAGATAAATTTGTCGCATTTTCATGGTCGTGAAGCAGCGTTAAATATGAGAGCCGCGTGTCGAGGTAAGAAGACGCACGAAACGCCATTTCTCTGGCGGAATGGTGTCCCGTTACCAAGTGGATTGTTTAAAACGACCACCTTGCAAAATATCTCCTGGCAGAGGTTCATTACGCAAATAGAAGGAGTCCATTAAGGTGGCAGGGGTCGTGCGTAAATTTTTCCCCCTCGACACTCGAGCACCCGGAAGGAAAGTAGTTTCACCGAATGCCGTGGTCTTTCCTCTCCGTAACTAAGTCATCGTTTTTCCCCGGGACAAAAGAAAGCTTCCACGAGTTGCTCCTTTCAAACATTACCTAACCGAGATCACACGCAGATGGTAAAAGGTACCGGAACGACCTTCCTTTAGAGCCTCCTGGAACATCGAAGAATCCGCTTCCAGCCAATAACACGTAGACCCAAGTTTACGATCGAACATCTTGTCGATAGTATTTATGACCGTCATTGTCCATAAGAGCTGATTGTAATTAAACTCCATATCTCTTTAAAGAATGTTTTTTAGCAAACAGTGTTTCTGCATCTTCGTGATTTAGAGGAACTTTTGAGTCCAGATCAATGATGAAATGATCAGGCAGATTCATGAATGTTGAATGCAGTTTTAAACAAATTTAATTGAGCATTCATGAAGCTTGAATATTCATCGACGTTATTGACGGACGCTGTGTTTCATTCATGCAGCCTCTGTCATTGTGCTCCGTTTCCGTTTAATCATCCAGGATCGATTTCTCCTTCTTGTTAAGTCTACCTTCTATACTCAGCCGCTGGAGATCAAACGTACGTACATTTGTTCCTGGGTTGATTTGTTGCAGTACGATAATTATATCCATGTGTCTTCGAGCGAAGGTTTAGTGCAATTTTTTTTATTTACAAATTATATGAATTTTATGATCATACAAATAAATTTGTAAATTGTGACTCTCTGCAGTTTGATAAATTTTGTACAAAATTTTTGTGCAAAACTGTAGCAAATTTATTGTTTAAGTACTTCAAACTATATGTCATGTCACAAGTTTAATCTCGTATTAAAGAAGAATTTTTTAATGTTGTTTTTACAAAGTAAACTTGTATCTGATTTTGGGGAGGAAGTTTATCAAAATATTTAAAAAGGTAATAAAGGATCAAAGCTCGTCATAAAAAGAGACGTCGCAGGAGCAGCAAATATTATCGCCTTCACTGAGCTAACAAATGGACCACGATGAATGCGTATCAATCATCGTATTAATCGTATCGTTGATCGATGACCGTTCGACGCGACGCGTCTGTTCGTCGACGGACCACGTTTCACAAGTCGTTTCAACGTGTTCGTAGCTGCTGTTCTAACGTGACAAATATGCAATTTCGAGGAACACGGAAAGTGCAGCCGCCATGCCAGCTAGAACATTTTAACGTCATGTTTCTCGCTTCGAATGCCACGACCCGTGTCAATTCTCTCGTTTTCTTCAATAAACATCGGCTTCATTTGATTTTTGACAATGTCTCTTTTCTTAAAGCTCTTTCACGTCTTTACTAACTTCTATTTTACTTACTGATTAACTTCTATTTTACTTACTGATTAGCTTCTATTTTACTTACTGATTATTTTCTATTTTACTTACCGTGTCGTTCACTTCTTTTATTTACTGATTAACTTTCATTTCAGCTGCTGATTCTGTTTATTAGCTTCCATTTTATTCACAGCGTTTATGGATCCCAAAATTCGTATTACGTGACTCACACGTGAAGGTAGAATTTAGTCAGGGTATTTTCTTGTCGTTCTAGTCTCGGAAAGAGCTTCCGTTAGGATCGCAGTATTTTCTGTGATTTCTGGTTCGGTGGATATTGCTAGTCAAGCAGAAAACCGGTTCGAAGTCGACAAACTGATGTCAGAACACGAAAGAACACGTAGCAAGGTTTGCGCAAACGGATATATTTGTTTCTTTGTTCGTTACTCTTGATCAACGTTTCCCGTTGTGTAGCTTCTACATATGAATCAATAACTTTGAAATCTTCAAGAGAAAACTTCATTTTAACAGCTGCATTTTAGGGTCTTTGAACATCGATCGCAACGGAGATTGTGGCAGATTTATGTAACTACTTTTGATCGTTTTCTCATCATATTTGCAAATAATATCTTGTTTTATAAAATCTTTTATAAAATGTAAGTTTAGTTGAACACAAAATTAGAACATGAGGAGCTACTTTTCTTAACATGTCACTCGAATTAATTGCTACTTTCACAACACATTTGCAATCAATATACCACAAAAGATTTATTGCTACCAAACTTGAAATTTAACCTCATCGAAAAATTTTAAGTGTTGTCTTTGATGATGGACGATCTTAAAAGTTTTAAAAATCGTAAACAGCAATATCCGAAACACAGTCCATCTAACAGAACTATAAATGGTCCTGCATTTCAGATTTTCAAAACCTGCAGCTTGACCCGGTCTAATTGAAAGAAGGAACAGTAAAGAATGGTCGCAGAGTCTTTCCACGAAGCACGTTCACCCGGAGGCGAAATAAGTAGCGCGATCAATCACGGAGCAGACCGAAGCAGCCGTGTCGCTTAGCTCTATCAATCATCCCTTAACAAATCGTCCTCCGCTGAAACTTATTTCATCGAGAATCGGGAACATCGTCCTTATCGATTAATTCTTTCTTTCGAATTAACGTTGGAGCCCATCGAATCCCAGAAGATCCAATGTGTTCGGTCAAAGAAATTCCAGCGTCGCAAAGGACGAGTTCACGATTGACAGAGAGCAACAGAGAGAAAGGGAGAAAAAGAGAGAGAAGGGTCGAGAGGGGAAAAAGAGTCGTGTAACAATGTCGGTTCATCCGGGTTTGTTCTGCCCTACTTCGTCCTTACGGTAGCTTTTGTTCGTCGACCAACCCTCTTCGGATCGGATCAGATTACCGGCACGGGGCGCTTTGGCCAAGGAAATGCGGGTTTCCATTGCACCGAATCGGCGACGTAAGGGGATTGAGAAACGCGAGACTGGCAATACTTAGCCAACCCTTTCTACTCTGACCCTCCCTTTCTTAGTCCTCCATGTTCCTCTACGAATTCAATTTTTTTCCGAATATTTGGCTGACTGTTTCGCTATACTTTTTGTTTAAATCTCGCGTAAAAAGGTTTCGTTCAACCCTTGCCACAAAACGGTCAGGTTAAAATGTTTATACAAATTGAGACATTAAAATACATTTAAGAAATACAGTGACTTACAAAAATGTCCTCACACGTTAACTCTTATAGATGACTTCAACTTTGATCAAAATGTTCATTGATATAAGTATTCACTGATTTGCAAGTTTAATAGATCAAATTAGCAAATTGATGATCAAAGATGAGGAATACAGTGTATTTCTTAAATACATCTAAATACATTTAAGAAATACAGTGTCTTACAAAAATGTACTCACACTTTAACTTTTATAGATGACTTTAACTTTGGTCAAAGTGTTATGTTAGGTTATTAAGTTGATATACACATGCAAGTTTAAGAGAGCAAATTAGCAAATTGATGATCAAAGATGAGGAATACAGTGTATTTCTTAAATACATCTAAATACATTTAAGAAATACAGTGTCTTACAAAAATGTACTCACACTTTAACTCTTATAGATGTCTTTAACTTTGGTCAAAGTGTGAGGTTAGGTTATTAAGTTGATATACATATGCAAGTTTAAGAGAGCGAATTAGCAAATTGATGATCAAAGATGAGGAATACAGTGTATTTCTTAAATACATTTAAATACATTTAAGAAATACAGTGTCCTACAAAAATGTACTCACACTTTAGCTCTTATAGATGTCTTTAACTTTGGTCAAAGTGTTAGGTTAGGTTATTAAGTTGATATACATATGCAAGTTTAAGAGAGCAAATTAGCAAATTGATGATCAAAGATGAGGAATACAGTGTATTTCTTAAATACACTTAAATACATTTAAGAAGTACAGTGCCTTACAAAAATGTCCTCACACTTTAACTCTTATAGATGTCTTTAACTTTGGTCAAAGTGTTAGGTTAGGTTATTAAGTTGATATACATATGCAAGTTTAAGAAAGCAAATTAGCAAAAGGTAACAAGTTATTCAAAAGATTACTGTTTCTTATAAAATTTGATAATGTATCTCAAATTTGTCAGTGTATCTATTGGTTTAAGGAGTAAATACATCTTCAGGGTACACGTTTAGAAGAACAAACTCACCCGTGACGACGACGTTAATTTTTTTAACCAAAGGAGGATGCGTGGCAACCTGGCACTTGTACAACCCAGAATCCCTAGGAGTAGCGTAGAGGATCTGTAATCTCCAGTTGCTCGGGTACCTGTAGATCAAAGGAGCATGTACACTGTTCAATTAGATTTCGACAGTGTCTCTTACCGAAAGTTCAAGCTGATCCTCTGATCGATACTGTACGGTTTCTTTCCGACTGTGAGCAGTCGAAGGGAATCCTTGCTGTGTTGTTGCAGCCATGTCACCTGAAATGCAACACGGAAAATATCTTTCGTTATTGCCTCGTAAATCACGGATTTCTAGAAACGGCGTCCTAGGGAAATAGGCGTGGCATTGTTGCGGCGGCGAGGAATTAAACGGGATCTCGTCGAAAGGCAATAATTTCACGGTACGGAATCGAGAAGCTCTGAATCGTCCACGAATGAATGCCGTCGTGCAATTTCGCGTTAAGTGTTCGAGAAAGCCGGGCTTAACGTTCCGGCCATCTTGCGACTGTACACTTCGTCATTTTTTCTTATCCCCGTTTTATACCGGACGTGACGAGTGTCGAGAAAAAGGGATGCAAGTTCAAGTTCTGGCTTTGATGCTGACTTTAGACCGGTGACCTTTTTAACATCGGTGATATTTAAGGTCATTCTGTGACATTAAATTAGGACTCTGTGGTCTCGAATTAATTTAAAAATTAATTACATATTTAATTAACGTCGCCCAAACATAAAAGGTAATGTTCCCACCTGTAAATTTTACATGTGCAGAGAGTTAATTAGACACCCTTGCACGAAAAGGGTAGAATAAATAATTGGCATCGTTAAAATATTTGGAAGAAAAAGTCTTATTCACATAATTGAATACAACATAAAAATAGAATATTAGATCGATAATAGAACGGGATTAGTAGTAAATTGATATGTACGGAGTTTGGCCGATTCTCGAACAACCGGCCAGTTAAAACCACCCCGCGGGGCTTCAATAATTGCGTTAACCAAAACATCATGAAACATTCACTTCTCGGGTGGTGCGATCATGAAATTTAATAATCGATCAAACTACACCTCGCGTCGACATCGCGTCAACGCGTCCGGTTGAATGCAACCGATAATCGGCTCGCGGTTATCGCTCGTGTCCGTCCTGTCGCGAAAACGTTCACCTTCGAACCGGCAAAATTATACCCCATTAAACGAGTACCGTTTCATGCAAATGTCCTGCGGATTCTATGCTGGATTTGTTAATTAATCGGCCGCGAACATCGTTCTCGATACACGACGCACAATGGGGTTCCGATGGCTCGTGTTCAAATATATCGAACTGTTTCTACGTGAACTATGATAGCTTTAAACTGATCGAATCTATGGTGATAAATTTCTGATGGCTACAAGAGAAATTTCAGAGGATAATACAAAAAGATAAATTTTAGAGGAGTACAAGTCAATTTGCAAATGGGTAAGATGATAGGTGAGGTCGAGATAAATTTCAGATAAATATTAAACAAATTTTATAAGACAAATTATATAAGACAAATTATATATTAATAGACAAATTTTAAATTAGTACAGACAATTTATATTAGTAGTGAAATAGCGAGACGTTAAAGTAGATCAGAAGACACCGAGTTAATTGGGAGGCGTTCGTTAAAAGGTTTGCTATAAGTCCGCTTCGCGGCATACAAGTATCAGAAACAAGTCGAATCACTTAATCCTGAAAAGTGTTAAGTATCTCGCAGTCTCGAGTAATCTCGAAGAAAGGCAGGCAACTCGGTTGAAAGCGTCGCAATTAGTGCTTAAGCAGCGGCTCTCGCGGGACTCGGGTATTCATCGTTTAATCGCAAAACGCAGCTGGCGAACGAGAGACAACAGAGCCGAAAACGGAACGATTATAATTGCAAACATCATTCGTTAGCGGCGTCGGCCAACTTTTCGCATTGTAATCAGCTCTCGTCGAATTCCGCGTTGTTCTCTCGCCGAGAGGCAGACCAAGTCGCTCGAGATTACGAATGGATTCATATTCCACGGAATACGTAATGAGAAACCGATTCTGATGACCATCTTTCGGGAGGATGGGAAGAAATCGATGCGCGTGTTAATTATGAGAGATCCATTAGGAATTTTGATAGAGCAAATTGTTTGACTACTGGTTTTAGAGACGGTGAACTGAAGTGGTTTTTAGTGAATTACGTTGGGTTGCATTTTGGGAGAGCAACTTTGGGATGTTGATATTTTAGAGTTTTGTGATTCAAGAATTTTGAGGTATAGGAATTTTTTGGTGTTTTTAAAGTTTGGGACTTTAGAACTTCAATTTTTGAAATTTGACATTTTAGGAGTTTCGGTGCCTTAGAATTTTGGAACTACAGAATTTTGGGATTTGAAGTTTTGGGACTTTAGAACTTGAATTTTTGAAATTTGACATTTTAGGAGTTTCGATGCTTAAAAACTTCGCAACTACAGAATTTTGGGACTTGAACTTTTCAGACTTTTAGTCCCCGAAATTTGGACATTCCATTTTGGGACTTCTACCTCACAGAATCCTAGAAATAATAAATTTTGGGACTTCCACTTTTCGAAAATTTAAGAAAATTCCTATTGTTTCGAAAATTTAGCGACAAAGTAATTTTGAAGCTAGATATTCGAGAAAAAAAGTGGACTGCACTCAACGGGAATTGAACCGTGGACCTCCGCGTTTAAAGTCAGTCGCGTTGTCGACTACTCCAAGAAAACCCACGAAGTTTTCTACTTTCACAATTCCATTTATGTGTCTGAAGTTTCCTGTGCTACAGAACTTTCGGAAATAATACAAGCAAGTTGTTTGCGGGAAATTAATTTCAGAGGTGTATTTCGGTCCATAAAAGTTTGCGAAACGGTGGTCCAGACGATGGGCTATTTCTAAGATGCGAGAGATATTCGAAGAGAATGTTATTCATGCTGTTATAGTTATATAGAACATGGTATTCGAGATATTTTCATCAAGTAAAATTGCAGTTCCCGAAATTATTTGTGTGTCGAGAATTCCGAAGGAGGAATATTCTGAACTGGATATATCTTTTATTAATATTATATCTATTTTTTAATATTAATTTTCTTGACAAATATATTTTTGTCGATGGTAAATTTTCTTTTCTGACTTCGGTTGATGAGAGTAAAATTATTTGATCAGAGAGTAATAGGGGAATTATGATCACCGATGACCTTTGTATCAATCTCAATATTCCCGATTTAGCGCAGTCGAACACTCGAATGCTGGAACCGGAAGAGAATGCATGAAATCGTAACGTATGATGCTATCTGTCATCGTTATGCGATACCCTGTTCCCTCTATGGTATCCGTAAAAGATCTTCAGTGGCAACAGAAGAACAGACGAAAACGCGAATTTCATTGGGAAATATATCATGCAACTTATAACGTTAAAGCCAGTGATGGAGCCCGGGATTACGATGAGTACGTGACTCCTATTTTCAAGATTGTAAATAATAGCCGAGTGCAGATAGTATTTCGTGGATATTTATTGCCAGGGAATCCGCGAGTTTCGCCATAACATTGAAACTTCGCGAGTCTTCCGCTTTCAATAGCTGATCATATATCTGATCATTCGCGCGATAGGTTTATTTAAAACCTCGTTTCTTTTATTCGACTGCTTAAAATTTTTATGAAGCTATCGGAAGCTGATATATCAGATTTGTGATATAAATCCGTAACGATATGTTACAAATCCGTAGTGATATTTTGATCTAATTATATTATAAATCTAACTTCCAAATTGCAAATGAGTGTTTCTAAATTAAAAATGACAATACATGGGCGTTGCAGCACTCCGTAGTTGCAATTAATCGTACCGAAAGCAAATAAATCGTATTTACCAATTACTGCGTCTGTAAATAACGTCAGACGCAACGTGTCCCGCGTCGAACAAAATAAAGCAGCTACGAACCTTAATAATGAAAGAGGAGATTAAACTCTGATGAAATACCAACGTTCATTGCGTTCGTTACAAAGGAAAGAGAAAAAAGAGGGAAGATTGTATCGGTGCTGTCGTTTTTTAACATCAGGTAGAAGGCAGTTTCTTTTTCATTTTACATTGCACGTAATCGAGAGGGTAGCGAGTTACGAAGGGAAAATTTCAGCGGGCAAAAAGAATCGATCCGTGTTCTCGCCTCTCGCTTCATCACCGTGATATCTCTTTATCGTACGTCACGGAGACCATAAAAATATAACAAGACCGTTGCTGCCGGTTTTTCATTATGACATCGCCCATCCTATTTTCCAACTTGCATCAGCCACTGTCTCATAAAGGCGACGGTATTATAAAGCTAGCCGAAAGAGCAACGAATGGCAAGCAAAATAAATAAACTTATGCCACGTCGCATCCTCTACTTTATCGCGGAAAAACAACAAGTTCCTTGTGAAAAGTTTTGATTATCAAGATTTTCATCGATCACCGACGCACTTTCTTGGCACTCTCATACAAATTTTAATATATCAAAGTTTTTTGGTTGAAATTTTGTGCGATGTTTATAACGCACGTCGATTACAACATGCGTTAGTTACAACGTGCTTTAGTTACAACGTACGTCGATTGCAACGTGCGTCAATGTGAGTAGATTTCAAGGCATGACTACTGCGCGCACTGAGTTCAATGTGTGTGGAGTTCAATACGGGTTGACCTCAACGCGTAACTATTGTAACGTACGTTAACTTTGACGCATGTTGATTTTGACGCACGTTGATTCTAACGCAGGCTGATTCTAACGTACGTTGATTCTAACTCACGCCGATTTTAACGCACGTTGATTTTAACGCACGTTAATTTTGACGCACGTTGATTTTAACGCACGTTGATTCTAACGCACGTTAAATTTAACGCACGTTGATTTCGACGTGTGTAGATTTCGACAGTTGGCGATTCGAACGCGAGCTGATTACAACACGCTCTAATTACGCGTCGAGTCTACCGAGTGTCGATTATTGCATACCGACTGTAACGCACGTCGACTACTGCTTGTAACTACTCTGCACGTCTATTTTAATGTACGCTCATTTTAACAGACGTTTATTACAATTCGTGTCAATTCACAATTACAATGCACGTTGATTGCAACGTACAATGACAATGAATTACAACCTCCACTAATATAAAATGTAACAGTGATTGTAACGTGATATATCATCAACAAATGACCAAAGAAGAAAATAAAAATTACCTCCTTGTCCCCAAGCATTCCGATCTTGCAATCGAGCAGCATCTTGCTCCCAATCCTGGCAGTGATATTCATATCCTGATCGCCGTCCTCGAAATAAGGGCCAAACTTGCCAAACGCGCTGTCCACGCTGGGTAACACGAACTTTTTCCCGGACAGGGATCTCTGGGTGCTGCTGGCAGTCAGATCGTTCTCCATTTCGGTCTTGATCGAGGGTTTTATCTCGTAGAAACCCTTGGTGGACTTGCCTCCGGGTAACAGAAGATTGTTCACCGGTCTGGAATGATCCTTCCTTGTTTCCCCTGGATTTCTCGGCTGTTCCTGTTGTTGCGTCTCTTGTTTCTCCTCTCCGGCGACCGGCACTTTGAACGAGATCGCCTTGATGTCCTCCACGTTCTTCTGCTCGATCTGCCTCGACTCCGTCGACGCCGTTTCCCGGACGGACGTTGTCGCGACGGTCACCGAGTCTTTGCTCTGTCCCTCCGGTTTCAAACCATTTGTTATCTCACCTTCATGCTCCAAAGTCTTTGGAGACGCTTGCTCGTCCACTTGGACGCGATTTAACTCGTCGTCGCTCTTCGAGGGAGCTGTGCCGACGCTGCCTCGATCGGACTCGGTCGAGGTTGGCAGTAACCTACTTATGGCTTGTATTTTACTCTCGCTGCTGCGGTCTATGCCTCTCTGCTCCGACTCTTCGGGGTCGCGCTCTACTTCGTGCACGCCGTTCTGTTCAGCCGCGGCACTTTGATCCCTTTGTAACTCGACGCTGATCTCTTCGACCCGCGACGCGTTCGACGAGTCCTCGAACAGTGACGGAAGCCGAGGGTCTTGCACCTCGGTGTCGTTCTTGAAGATGCCGGACTCGTTCCTCTGCACGTCATCCTCCTCCACTTCGGGGTGGCTCGTGCTGCGCTCCAGCTCGCTGTTTGACTCTGAAACACAACATTTCAATAGATAAGTTTCATATTTACTTCTACAAGTTTTGTACATTTGATGTTTCATAAAAATTATTTCTCTAAGATAGTCCATCTAAGATAGTGATCTTTGGGTCAGTTATTTTGTTCAGTCAGCTCTTTGCATTTGAAAGCCTTGATCTTTGTTCAGATACATTGTTTAAATTATAATTATGACGTAAAGGTATCCATCATAAAGGCATTCCTACATTTCAATGACCTTGAAATATCAAGAATAATATTTCCACTGATTTACCAGCATATCCGATGTAGTCTCTGAGATCCATAAATAAGAAGCATCGACAAAGGCTCGTTACACCATAAAGAGAATATTGGAAATGATTCCATCGTTAGTTTCGTATCCGCGACACAACAGTGAACACTTTACGCGTATTTCAAGAAGGATAAGAACATCTTAGCCCTCGAGTGATCCGAGCTTCTCAATACTTTTCAAGAGACTTTGAAGAGAAATACGCGTCATTTGTAATTTTACGTCGAAGCTCGGTATCTCCCGTAGGTACTGTGCTCCACCCACATTTTCCTTCTCGAGTATCGACTCCTTTTTCTGCCGCTCTTCAAGCACGTACCAACGATTTGTTCTCTTCAAACTTCCGTTTCAAACTTTCTTTATTTCACCATACGTCGGATCCTGCCCTTTTTTTGCTACGTATTGGAGCTAATGAAAGCTTTGATACCAGTGTGGAATTTACAAATTTGGTATTTAGGTAGTTGGATGTTTGGAAGGTTAACAAACTAGAAATTTGGCAGTTTGGAAATTTGGAAACTTGGGATGTGGGAGGATAAGGATATGGGACTTGGGGATTTGGAACTTGCGGCTGTGGAATTTACGTTTAACCCCTTGCACTATGACATATTTGTCAGGTGCGTCAGTCAGAACTGCGTAATTACAGCTACAATATAAAAACAGACAAAAAAATTTGAGATGTTATGTCAATATGTTATTATACAATCGTTGACTATGCAAATTATAATTGGACTTGAACTCCAAATTGAAGCGTACTAAAAATTCGACTAAAATTGGTCACAGTCAAAGTATGAGTGCGTCACGAGTCAGACTCGTCAAAGTAGTGCAAAGGGTTAAGGAATTTGGGGATGTAGAACTGGGGGGTGTGGAATTTGAGGATGTGTAATTGGGGGACGTAGAACTAGGGTAGGTGGAACTTGGGGATGTGGAATTGGGGGACGTAGAACTTGGGTGGGTGGAAATTGGAGATGTGGAATTTGGGGATGTGGAATTTGGGGATGTGGAATTTGGGGATGTAGAATTTGGGGATGTGGAATTTGGGGATGTGGAATTTGGGGACGTGGAACTTGGGTATGTGGAATTTGGGGTTTTGGAAATTAGAGATGTGGAATTTGGGCACGTGGAACTTGGGCAGGTGGAATTTGGGGTTTTGGAATTTGGAGATATGGAATTTGGGGCTATGGAAGTTGGACACGTGGAATTTGGGCACGTGGAACTTGAGTATGTGGAATTTGGGGCTTTGGAAGTTGGACACGTGGATTTTGGGCACGTGGAACTTGGGTATGTGGAATTTGGGGTTTTGGAATTTGGAGATGTGGAATTTGAGCACGTGGAACTTGGGTAGGTGGAATTTGGGGTTTTGGAATTTGGAGATATGGAATTTGGGTACGTGGAACTTGGGCATGTGGAATTTGCAGATGTAGAACTTGATTAGGTGGAACTTGGAGATGTGGAATTTGGGACTTTGGAAGCTGGACATGTGGAATTTGGTGCACGTGGAACTTGGGTAAGTGGAATTTGAGGTTTTGGAATTTGGAGATGTGGAATTTGAGCACGTGGAACTTGGGTATGTGGAATTTGGGGCTTTGGAAGTTGGACATGTGGAATTTGAGGACGTAGAACTTAGATAGATGGAACTTGGGTATCTGAAATTTGATAATTTAGGAATTCCCTGTATTAAAAATTTGAACCTACAGTAATACAGCACTGTGAGAATTTAACACCCCCAAAATTCAAGAATTTAAAAATTGATAAACTTACAAATTTGATAACATCAGAACTTAAAAACTTTGCGAATCTCCCCATCCAAGAACACAAATCACTACAATTTACAAACACGAAAATTTGAAAGCTTCTTACAAACCTCTCCAACAATTCCAACCCCTTATTTCTAAACTCCGCCACACAACGCTGCACAATTCGAAGTCTATCTCAAAATCACAAAACACGAAATGCACAAAGAAATAATTGCAACGCACGCAACATTCATAAACAGAGCTTGTACCGACATAAAAAAGCAAATGTTAAAAGTGAAAGGATTTGAAAAGAACTTTTATCGCGGAACCTTTCTCCATTAACAGTAACATTTGTTGGTAAAAGAACAGAATCGTTTCTACAACCTCGAGACAAAGTTGCCTGGGACTTTGACAAAGAAAGAAAATGAAGATTGAAGAACTTCTGACCTGATTTTCGAAGAAACAAGACCAACTCGACGATTTTCTATACCTTTTTCATGATATATCACCGTGGATCAAATACCACGTCACCCTTTGTTTCTCAGAGTTATTGTTTAAACTGGATTTTCGCCCGATCGTCTGTCACGACTTTTCCTTCCGGCCGATTGAAATTGCAACGTGAATTTGAGAGTTACGCCATTGTGGCAAGAATTTAGTTTTATACATTTATTTGTTGGCGAGTAAAAACTTTACGATAGCCAATTACCAATCGATTAAAATTTTATTCTTTTATATTTTCACATTTGATGTTATTTTTCTAGCCACATTAAAATTCTGCGGAATTCATATTTTTTTACAATTTTACAATTTTTAATGAGGAGTTGTAAAAATAAATAACAGACTTCTAAAACCAAAATTAATCTTAACCTCAAAATTTTAGGTTAAGTTTAAATTTTAGTGTAGCTCCGTTAATTCTAAAATCGAAATAAAATTGCAAACCAGGTCGAAAACACTTACACAAATAATTTTAACCAAACTTCAAACTCTAACAATCTGACTTCCATTAAAGTTCCTCCAACGTAATTATAATTTTAAAACAAAAATAAATTTTGAAACAGAAATTTTTGAGACAGAAATACTAGAACTATTGAAGTTTTGTAGAGTCACCGGTTTTCTTAAAAAAAGACAGTAATCTATTTTCGACCGTGAACGCGACTGATCTTCGATAGGCGCTGTTTGCGCGTAAACGAATTTCCCGAGATTATTTCCGGTTGGTGGTCCACGTCATAAAAAGCGACGAACTGTGATCTTTCTGCTGGTGTGTCGTGCGTTTTTTTCGTCGGATCGATCGAGCACGGTAAACGGTCAAAGCGTTTATTGTCCGGCCGAACGGAACCGCTTACGTGGCGATACCTGTGGCCTCAGTAAATAATCGTGTTTCATTGAAAACGCTCGAAAAATTTCGATAACCAACCGCGTACGTAATAACTAGGTAACGACTGCAAAATGTGGAAGATATAGTGAAATTTTTGAAAGGTTTCTTGAAGACGACTATGTTTTGAAATTTTTAAGAACTAAGAATTTTTAAGGTACAGAAGTGAAATTTGTAGAATCAGAAGTGTGAGACATGACTGACAATGTACATTCTGATGAACTGTGGTTGTTATGTTTATGCTAAGACGGCTATAAGAATGCTCAGAAAAGGACACTTCTTAGGAGACTTTTTAAGAGTATAGCCTGCGAACTTTTATACAGGGCGTCTCACAACTAGTGTACGTCTAGTCAAAGTTTGCCAAAATTAAAATTTGTCAGAATTGGAACTCGCAAGAATTAAAATTTCTGAAGATTGGAACTCGCAAGATTGGAACTCGCAAGAATTAAAATTTGTCACAATTGGAACTCGCAAGAATTAAAATTTGTCAAGATTGGAACTCGCAAGAATGAAAATCTCCCAAGATTGGAATTCGCAAGATTGGAACTCGCAAGAATTAAAATTTCTGAAGATTGGAACTCGCAAGAATTAAAATTTCTGAAGATTGGAACTCGCAAGAATTAAAATTTCTGAAGATTGGAACTCGCAAGAATTAAAATTTCTGAAGATTGGAACTCGCAAGAATTAAAATTTCTGAAGATTGGAACTCGCAAGAATTAAAATTTCTGAAGATTGGAACTCGCAGCAAGAATTAAAATTT